AGAAGAAGAACCCAAGAGCTTGTGTTGGAGGATTGAGAAGCTCCCAAGAACAGAGCCTGTTGGGTCTGCCTTCCAGAGCTGGATGGGTGATGGATTTCCCATTCACAGAGCCCATGTCTTTCACACCATCAACCGTTTCAGGAAGCTCCATTTCAACAAACGCGCTCTCGAGGTCGCTCTTTTCTCTTCCTTTATATATATATGGCGCATATATCAATGGTGGGTAGTGTTATTTTTAGCTTTTTAGGCAATGGTGTTGGCTCTTTTTATGTTAGAAGCGTGCAAAGAAACTATGCTCAGTTTCTGTTTGTTTATATGCTTCAAAAAATTGTGCCAGTTGCATGATAAAGTGAAATGCAGGCAATGTTCAACTTACATATATGGCCCTGTTTTTTTTTTTTTGGATTAGTCTATGGCCCTGTTTGGGAATAGCTTTGTTAGCTAAAATAGCCAATAAAGATAAAAAGAACTAAAATAGTTAAGATGACAAAATATCACATTCTACACATCAATCAATCATGTTTTCTCTCACAACCATCTATTCAACTACAAAAAAAGTTCACAAATCATTCTGAACATAACTTTTTTTCATCTTATAAAATAGCCAAAAAATCAACTAAAATAGCTAAGTTTCCAAACAAGGCCATATATATGTATACATATGAAGCTTACTTCTACGGTGGGCAGTGTTATGTTTGGCTGTTAAGGCAATGGTGTATGGTGTTGGTTCTTTGGCTTAATAAGTGTACAAAGCATATAAGCTAAGTATCTGTTTGTATATATGCTTGAAAGAATTGTGCCAGTTGCATAATGAGGTGAAATGCAGGGAATGTTCTTCTCCATTGACTCAACCTTGTACGCGTTATGTTGTAGTGAAATGTATTGACAAACTGCATTGCCACTGTAATTGATTTTGTGGGTCTTCTCCAATAGTTTATGAAAGGAAAACTTGAACGTCTTGTTGGATTTCTGGGTCATCTTGTGGACTGCCCAATATTCTGTACAACTCAGCCTCATCATATTCATCATTGTTTTGAGACGAAACCATGATCTTCACTTTGATTTTCAAACATGTGGTCTAACTTGCAACTTTTATTTTGATGAAGTGACGAACCATCATTACTGTAGTTTTTTAGAATTCCCATCTTATTAGTTTGTATTGGATTTTAGTTCAAGAATTTAGTACTGATTCTTGTTGTACATTTTATAGTAAATTTGAGAAAGCATCCTCTTCTGCATTTTAAATGGTGTTTAATACCCCTTTATAAAGTCTTGATCACTATGATGACAAAAGAATAATTTGGGTTTTATTAAGTCTGAGCTTGAGTATCTATCTATCTGTAACTTTTAACAGGTGATGGAATGGGTGATCAAGGAGAGGCCCTACAGGCCAAAGGAATTAGACTACTCATATCTATTAGAATTCAGAACTAAGCTTCATGGGGTATCACAAGGGGAGAAACTTTTTCTTGTATCTCACCTGAATTCCAAAATGAGTTGCTATACAATAATCTTGTTATTGCATGCTTGGATAAAGGCATGATATGGCTTTCACTTGCATCCATGAAGAAAATAAGGGAACTAGGTCATCCCATTTCGCACTTGATTTTCAACCGCCTCATTATCCTTCATTCTTTGCCGAACCGTAGGAAAGCCATCTCAAGAATCCTTAGACAAATGAGGGCTGATAAGGTGGATCCGCATGTTTCCACATACAACATTCTGATGAAAGTTGAAGCTAATCAACACAATATTGAAGGATTGGTTAAGGTATTTGGTGACATGAAGAGAGCACAAGTTGAGCCAAAAGAGATATTTTTTTGCATATTAGCAACTGCACATGCCGTGGCAAGACTGTACACCGTTTGTGAAGCCCATGTTGAAGCGGTCGAGAAGTCAGCAACGGGAAATAACTGGTCAACATTGGATGTCCTTATATTGTATGATATTTGGGAAAGGAGAAGGAGATAGAACGAACTTGGGGTATTTTGCAAGAACTTCCCCATGTCAGGTCTAAGAGTTTTGTGGTGGCGATTGAAGCATTTGGCAGGATGGGGGGACTAAGTCATGCTGAACAACTTTGGTTGGAAATGAAGTCAAAGAAAGGATTGAAATCAACTAAGCAATTCAATTCAATGATAACTGTTTATAACTGACTCGGGTTTATTACTAAAGCTACTAAGATGTATAAAGAAATGGAGCAAAATGGATGCAAACCGAATGCAAACCGAATGCAATAACATATTGACACCTTGCTCTTGGTTGCTTGAAAGAAGGATTAATGAAGGAAGCTCTAAAAACACTAGAGGCTGTGGTGAATTGGGATCGTCCTACTAACGTGACTGAGGTGAGGAGCTTTTTAGGGTTGGCAGGCTACTATCGTAGATTTGTAGAGGGGTTTTCATTGATTGTGGCACCATTAACACATTTGACCCGTAAGAATACCAAATTTGAGTGGACGGAGAATAGTGAAAAGAGTTTTCAAGAATTAAAGAAGCGATTAACTTCTGCCCCAGTGCTTACTATTCCGTTAAGTGGTGAAGGATTTATTATTTATAGTGATGCCTCTCATCAAGGGCTCGGTTGTGTGTTGATGCAACATGGAAAGGTAGTGGCCTATGTATCTAGACAATTGAAGAACCATGAACGCAATTATCCCGCCCATGATTTAGAGCTCGCAGTGGTTGTTTTTGCTTTAAAGTTGTGGAGACATTATTTATATGGGGAAAAATGTGAGATATATATTGATCATAAGAGTTTGAAATATTTATTCACATAGAGGGATTTAAATTTGAGACAAAGGAGATGGGTTGAATTGATTAAGGACTATGACTGCACCATTAATTATCACCCAGGAAAAGCTAATTTGGTGGCCGATGCTCTTAGCCAAAAATCTACAGGGAGATTAACTTATATTCAGGGCATTCAATTTAGTCTCTTACATGAAATAAAATCTATTGGAGTTGATCTAGCAGTTGGGAAGTCAGGATCCTTGTTAGCTACAATTAAAGTGAGACCTCTGTCAAACTTTATTATTACTCTTAGCCGAAAATCTACAGGGAAATTAACTCACATTCAGGGCATTCAATTTAGTCTCTTGCATGAAATAAAATCTATTGGTGTTGATCTAGCAGTTGGGAAGTCAGGATCCTTGTTAGCTACAATTAAAGTGAGACCTTTGTTGGTGGATCGCATTCAAGAAGCACAAGGAAAAAACTCAGTTTTGGAGAAAACCCGAGCTCGAGTGAAAGATGGTGCTCTGTCAAACTTTATTATTAAAGAAGATGGTGTGTTGATGTTTAAAAATCAGTTATGTGTTCCAAATGTGACCGAGATAAAAAAGGGAGATACTAGATGAGGCCCATAATTCACCTTATGCAATGCATCTGGGGAGTACAAAGATGTATCGAAATTTAAGAGAAAGTTATTGGTGGCCAAATATGAAGAGAGAGAGATAGCAGAATTTGTGTCAAGGTGTTTGGTATGTCAGCAGATTAAAACATAGCATCAACGCCCAGCCGATTTACTTCAACCTTTTCCTATACCTGAATGGAAATAAGAGCATATTGCCATGGATTTTGTTTCAGGACTGCCTCGCACACAGAAGGGGCATGACTCTATTTGGGTTGTTGTAGATAGGTTGACCAAATCTGCACACTTTTTGGCTATTAAGAAAAACTTTTCACTTGATCGATTAGCAAAAATTTATGTTGATGAAATTGTGAGATTGCATGGTGTGCCGGTAACTATTGTTTCAGACAGAGACTCACGTATCACATCCCACTTTTGGCCTAGTCTTCAAAATGCCTTGGGTACTAAATTGAGATTCAGTACAGCTTTTCACCCCCAAACCGACGAGCAATCCGAGAGGACAATTCAAACTTTAGAAGACATGTTGAGAGCTTGTGTCCTAGATTTTCGAGATAGTTGGGATGAACACTTGACCTTAATAGAATTTGCATATAATAATAGTTATCAATCAAGTATTGGAATGGCTCCCTATGAAGCTTTATATGGGCGAAGATGTAGAACTCCAGTGTGTTGGGATGAGATTGGAGAGAGAAAATTGTTAGGGCCAGACATTGTTCAAATTACTACCGATAAAGTGAATATTATTCGAGAAAGGTTGAAGGCGGCTCAAAGTAGACAAAAGAGCTATGCAGATAATCGGAGGAGGGATTTGGAATTTCAAGTGGGAGATCATGTATTTTTACGAATCTCGCCATGGAAGGGAGTAATGCGATTTGGTAAGAAAGGCAAATTAAGTCCAAGGTATATTGGGCCATTGGTGATACTAGAGCGCATTGGCAAGACTGCTTATCGTTTGGCCTTACCACCCAGTCTATCTCGCATTCACAATGTGTTTCATGTATCCACGTTGAAAAAGTACATGCCTGACCCGTCACACGTGTTAGATTTCCAACCAATCCAACTCAAGTATGATTTGTCTTATGAAGAGGAAGCTATAGAGATTGTGGACATGAAGGATCAAGTACTATGTTCCAAGACTATACCACTAGTAAAAGTAGTGTGGAAAAATCATGCTTTGGAGGAAGCTACTTGGGAGCGGGAGGATGATATGAAGATTTGATATCCACATCTTTTTCAAGGTATGAACTAGACTAAAATAAATAAATAAATTTCGTGGATGAAATTTTCCTTTAGGGGGGTAGAATTATAATATTCCCAACATTTCACCTAGAGCCAAACACACTCCTTTGTTAAACTCCATTTAGGATATCTGAACCCAACTCCAATCTTGATAGTAGGTGTGACCAAACACCCCATTTCAACACAAAAAAAAAAGAAAAAAGAAGTGCAGATTTTTTTTACTTCATTGTCTTCATTCTTCCCTCTCTAACTTCTCTCTATATTCTCTCTCATTTTCCTTTACTTTCTTGGTGGCCAAACACCACACCTTTGCTCCACCCTTACACCACCACCTTAACCCACCATCTCCACCACCACCGGCCACCTTATCTCGCCAGAAAAAGGGTCCGGTCGGCCGCTCCTTCACTCCATCTGAAAATAGCACAATAGAAGTACCAACTCTAGATTTTTCTTAACCTTTTGAAGAATCAAAGCTTGGGGTTTATTTTCTTGATGGATTAGAGGCTTGTAATTGGTAAGAATCTTTCTCTAAAAGTTTTGTTTAAGGTTTTACATATTTTGAGTTATAGATGAGGAAATTTTTTCTATTTTAGATCTATTATGATTTGGGGTTTGATTGTTGAGTTTTATACTCTCATTTAGTTTCTATGAATGTTTTACATGTAGAAAAATGATCAATTTGATGGTTGTTTTGGAGATTAGGATTTGGGTTAATCTAAGGTTTGAATGTGATGTAAAAATTAGGGATTTTGGTGTTAGGAATTTATCTGTTGAAATTGATTTGATAAATGGTGGATTGGGTATCTCTATGTTCTGTGGAGGAATTTTATAAATGATTAAAGTGATTTAACTTAAGTTGTTGAGTTTATGAAAAATGTTGATTTTTGACTTTTGTAGTTAATTGATGGTGGTATTGTGCATATAAATTGATTGGATATTTAAAAAGTTACTAAACTCCAAAAATGTACAAAGGATGGGTGTTGTGGAGATTGGATAAGTTATTGTTGTTTGGTGACTTGAAGTTGAGGAGTTTCTTTAGCTTGTCATTCCATAGCATAACCTATTTAGGATCATTTTTGTAGATATTGTGATTTTCATTGAAAGCTTTTTCCTAATTTTAGATCCTATTTACTAATTGTTAGGATTGGAGGAAGGCGTCTCTACACCTCTTGGGAATTAATTTGTAGAGTTTCAAATCTACACTTTTGCTATTTTTGGAGGTGAGTGTACTTACCATGGAAATTACTTTACCTCTATCTTTATTACAAAGTTTGAAAATAATTTTTGAATTAAGGAAGTGAATGATACATTTCATTATGATATATGTATAAAAAGAAATCTATAAATTATTTGAGGCCAAGGGTTGGGTTTAAATAAATATATGATTTCATTTGTATAATGAAGCATTAATATTTTTTTTATGAGATTTATTTAAGTTGCAGTCCTTCAAATTTTATGATGATGATGATTGAATGACAACGAAACGTTATGCGAGGGTATTTATTTTATTGATCATATGTACCAAGGCCATCTTTGGGGCCACAAGGGCCAAAATGCTTTGGGGTCCTGGGGACCAAAATGTTTTAAGGACCATAAGGGTCGTTGTATATATAAGTGGTCCCGGGGACCGAAACATTGAAATGAGAATTGAAGTGCTACGTTGACATGAGTTATGTTCCTATGGTTGTGTTTTGGGTAACGGTACCGTCACCACCTAAGTCGCGAGGTAACGCGACCCTAAGGCTATGTAGTGGTTCGTATGATGGACATGAAATCTTAATGTATTGAAAAGTTGTATTTTTGTTTACTTTCATTATTTTTATTTATTTATTTTTTTTTAATTTTGTATAAATTTCAGTCCAATTAAGCTCTTATGTTTATTATCTTTATTTTGAACCCAATTGGAAGGAGCAAGTTTTATAACTCCATGATATTGGTATACTCATTGGGCTTTAGCTCATTCTTTTTAAATATATATTTTTTTTCAGATTCATAGACTTTTGTGTGGCTCGCCTCAACTTGGAAGACTAGAATTTTTTTGAAGGATCAAACGTGGGCATCTTGTAGTTGAGGTTTTGCTTAGGGTCATTCTAGGATGTAAGTTTACCCTTTATTTTTTTATGAAGGAGGTTGACTGTAAATATTTGCTTATGAAGTTGGATATATTGATGGATTCGTGAATAATATGTTTTATTTTTGGGGAAGTGATGCTTGGGAACTATCTTGTAGCATGATGATATTTTTTGTCTTTGAATAGATCATCTCATATATGTTGGACAATTGAAAGGTCTTATGCACTTTTGGTGACGCGGTGATGTGATGTAAGAATTATACAGGAATTGTGGTATAAAGGCGCTATAGCGTTTGAGGTGCACCCTCTTGGCGGGGTTTTGCCTTGCCAAGATTGGGTCGTTACAGTCTAGGCCAGATTCCATGACCTATATCCTCTTGAAACTTATTGAGCTGTTTAGAGCCTAATTGTGTGTTGTTATGATTGGTTAAGTTGAATTTTTTCAGTTTATTGTATTTATGTTGTGTGTTGAAGAAAATGAACGTGGAACAGATGGATGAAATTAGGATATCATTCTGCAGGAGGGTTTTACAAGAAAGCTCAGATTGGGTTGCTATCCACCCTTAAAAATCTTTTTGAAGTTATAAAACCTTTGCATTCTCTCAGAACTTAAAAGCATCATTCACATCCATGTATATTACCTAGTGTACACAATATTATTATCTTGTTTTTTGTTTTTAGCAATTTTATTTGCTTGTTGACACTGCATGTTTTTCTTGACAACAAATCTTTTGCTGAGTATAGATGGAAGTGGCATATACATGTTTAGTTATGTTTGCCTTTCTGTGACCTGTTTGACAGGCTCAAAAGTTATGACAGTTTGTGATTGTATGTATGCAGCTAGTAAGAAGAATGAGATTGTTGTTCGCTTGATATTGCTTTATATTTGGTGAAATTTGGACACTACAACAATTTCTACTTTTGGTGACCAAATTTGGTGACAAAAACTTTTTTAGTCGCCAAAAGTTGTAGAATAGGCGACTAAAAATTACATTGGTCGCCGTTGAATATGGTTTTAGCTACTAATTATTTTTAGTAGCAGTATCTTAATTATTGGCGACTAAAAAAGAATTAGTAGCTAAATATGCCACAATAGGCTACTAATAATTGTTTTAGTCGGCATTAGATCATGTTATAGTCTACTAAAATTTTTATTAGTCGTGGTATACCAGTTTTTGGCTACTAAAATAAATTTAGTTGCTAAAAAGTTAGCATAATGTTTGCTATTAAACTTTGGCGACCAAAGTTTTGGTCGGCAAATATTTACTTTCGCTGACTAAAAAATTTTTAGTCGCTGTAAGGTAATTTTTACTTTCATCTTTGGTGATGAAAAATTTGGTCTGTGAATATTTCTTTTTGGTGACCAAAATATGTTTAGTCGCCAAAATGGTTACTTTTGGTGACTAAAATATTTGTCGTTGTTAGTTAAATGTTTGGCTACTAAATAAATTAGTTGTTATGAATTAACTTTTGGCGACAAACAACAAGTTTAGTCGCCAAAGGTATATAAAATTTTAGAGGGAAACATCAAAAGATTGGCGCCCAGTTCTTTTTAGTATTTTTGAAAACAGGGTTTCTTCCCTTCTCTCTGTCTCTCTCTCTCTCTCTCTGTCTCTCTGTCTCTGTCTCTGTCTCTCTCTCTCTCTCTCTCTCTCTCTCTCTCTCTCTCACACACACACACACACACACACACACACACACACACACAGATCCAGTCACCACCAAACCTCACCTCGCTGCAGTCGTTTTCCATCGTTGCTCACCGTAAGTCACACATTGCCACCGCCACCCCTGCAAATCACACCGCCACAACACAAACCGGTAGGTTCTCTCTCTCTCTCCCCCCTCCTCTATTTTCCCATTTCTCACTCTTGCTCTAGGGTTTATATGATTTATTTAGTTTACTTTCTTGTTTAGCTTGTTGTCGGTTTAATTTCTTCAAATTGTAATAAATTTGGAGTTGCATAGGTAGATTGTCTAGCTAATTTTGCAGTTCTCTTTCTTTTTGTTGGGGGAAAAATTTGGGTTCAGTGAGACATTTGAGTTTTTCAAGGAAAAATTTGGGGTCCCTGCGGTTATGTGTCCTACTTTGGGGGGTTTAGGAGCTGGCTCTCTCTTGTTCGGGTCCTTTTCCCTAACCATATCAGCAAACTGGTTCCAATTACAGTTCACTGAGCTCAACGTCTGCTAGAAATGCATGCCAGGGCTCAAAAGGTTGCCCGTATGCCTTCTGGGGCCACTGTTGGTGCTGCTATTGTTGAAGCAGAGAATAGTCTTGAGATGGATGTATGTTTTCCTGCTTTAGGAGATGCATCTCAATGTAACTCTTATATTTCCATTCTTTAGGATTAATTTTCTATTGGCTAACTTTTGACTAGATATAAATTTTGCTATCTGGGATTGAAGGGTGTATTTGTTATATAATATTTCTTTGTTTACTTGTCAAAAAATAACAGAATTTTGTCACTTCTGTCATCATCATCAATCATTGTCAGCTCATCATATTAGTTACTGAATTTCAAGTTAAATTGCTACTTAATGGGTTATGTTTTCTCTTTATTGGTTATCAGTATGACCTGGATCTCTTCAATATTGTTGCTGTTCTAGATTTTAACATGTAAGTCTCAACATATTCAATGCTTCTCACGTACGTCGTTTTCCTTAATATTTGATGTGCTTTGTGATTTTCCCCTTTTAAATTACTAATTATTTCATGTATTGGTTTCAAGAGAGCCATGGAAAACAAAAGCTTGAATGTATGCTTCGTGAAATTTTTTTTTACTCTTTATTTCCATCTACCATGCATTTCATTTGATTGAAGTTTGTTTGACTTGGTTGTTGATAGATATTCAATTCCAAGCTTGTTTTGGCATCTCCAAAAACTGCTACAGATGCAGATTATGCTTCAATTTTAGGAGTTATTGGCCATGAGGTGTATCATTTGTCTCATAAGAAGCAAGAAACTTAGATATATATATTTTTTAATTTGTATTAATTTGGGTCGTATTTCTTGTGTATGTTGTAGTATTTTCACAACTGGACTGGAAACAGGTTAGCTTACATTGCTACTCTATCTCAATTATTAAAATCTTGTTACTCTTTTGTATAACTTTTTTTTTTCCTCCGATCTTTCTCTTTTGGGTCAAGAGTGGTTATAGTTTAGTCTTAAAGAAGGCCTTACTGTATTCCGTGATCAGGTCTGGGCACATTATTAATTACCAAGTGACCATTGAAACGTTGAAAATATTTGTTGGTTGATTGAGCTTGCAAGTCTATAATCCATTCCTTTGGTAGCAATTTTCATCTGACCTCGGGAGTCGTACAATAAAGCGGATTGCTGATGTTTCAAGGTTTTGAAATTATCAGTTTCCACAGGTATTTCCACTCCCCTTCTACAACTTCTAGTGATGCTTTTAGTCTTTGTTACGTAACATTAGTAGCTGATATGCTATACATAGCACATAAAAATATTTTTAATTGTTTATGGATGTAATATTCATTTACATTGTAGATATAAATATAGAAAAAATATAAATTTTTCCCTTATCTCCACCGTATCCGTATCCTTCTATATGTGACGTACAAATTTTAAATACTATATCTAGTACCTTATTGTACGTATTCTCTTATTAGGAAATTTGATACCTACATTCAATGTTATAAACTCAGATTTAGATTAAACTTGTCCTTATGAAGTGAATTTGATATGTGGAAGCTTGTGGACTCAAAAGTTCTATTCATAGGAAAGAAAATGATCAATCAATCTTGCATGTTTTAATACCTGATTGTTCTTCAACAATGGTTTTGTGTGATACATTTAATTCTCTTTTTTTTTGGGGGGGGGGGGGTGAATAAGTCCTAAATTAAAGACAAAGAATTTACAAGACTACAAGGGACATGCCCCAGGCCCTAACCCATCAAAATCTATCTACACAGCTACCAGCCAATAGTAAGAACAGCTAGTCGGATAAATTAAGTTACACAGCTAGAACCTGCTCAAAAAAACTGTGCAACTAAGTTACATACACAGCCACAACATACAGCTAGAACTTGCCCAAAAAACCGTGTAGCTAAGCTATATAATTAAGCTATGAAAGTCCCTATACCAAAACTAGGATATTCAAACAGGTCGTGGAATAAAATGTGTTCATATGCCCTATATGATGCATATTGGGGATATGAACACATCCAAAAAAATCCACAACAGTTACAATATAATCTCCCTTGCATAGCCTGCAGGGGTAAGCTATGGACCAAAATATATAGTAGCTAATCATCCCAACAAAATAAAACACAAATATATAAAAGACAAAGCTTCCAACACTTCTTTGGCGTTTCCAGCAGCCCCTTCCAGCGGAGTGTACCCAGCAGCCTTTGATACCACCAGCAGCCTCTTGCAGCACAACGTTCCCAGTCCCTTTCAGTTTCCTTTCCAGTTTTTTGCCTCCAAGTTAGGTTAATAGAACCTGTCCAATATAGGGTATTACATAATAACAACCTAAATAGACAAAGTTGTATAACCATAGACAGTGTTTCCATATCACATTCACAAACACAAATAATATATATGCTCACTTCACTCAACCAAGACATGATGAAGATTGCTTTGTTTATGGTTGATCATGTAGTATTTGAATTCTCTCTTCCCACTCTTTGTTTTCCTTTTTTTTTTTTTACACAATAATATTTTGTTAGGAAAGTTGGAAGGAATGAACCCATTGCTATGAATGACATACTTGTATTAAAATGGCTGATGTTTGAGCTATATGACTTGGCTATTTCTAGGAAAAAAGTTAGGAATAACATCCGCTTGACAAATTAGAATGCATATTTTTTTATAGCATAACTATCTATTCTAACGTTGCCAGAAAAGAATAAATAAGAATCTAAAATGTTTGATTGGTTCTCTCTTCTATTGATTCTCTTTACGTGTCAAGATCTTCTGTTCTCAGATATCATAAAATTTGGCTATGGTTTACTTTTTTTTCCTTGGTGACATTAGGAACATATTGGATAGTTAAATAAAAAAGCAAATTAAAAGTGAGACAAATGATGATAAATTGCTTGCCTTGGTTTATGTCTATGTACATACTATGTTTCCTTTGCTTTCAGAATTGCTTATTCCTCTGTTAT